AGTTCTCTTTAAGCGTACAGGTGGGTCACACATTCCCATTCCCATTCCCATTCCCATTCCACGAATCCCTGTCCCCCCAATGATCGGAAGCGCTGGAGGGATGTTACAAAAAGTAAAATCCTGTTGAAGCATTAGGGTCACAACTCTGATGTCTCGTTAGTGTACAAGTTCGGAGATCAGTTTGGATTGTCGATGCTCCAGATCTACTGGATAGCTTGAAACGACGCGATGAGGAGGGTCACAAGGTCTACTCTGATCGTCTCGTTAGTGTACAAGTTCGGAGATCAGTTTGGATTGTCGATGCTCCATATCTCCTGGACGTTTTGGAGCCTTTGGGTCTACGGATATACTTTGGTTCGCACTGTATTTTGTACCGTTTCTCCAAGGTGAAGCTTGAAGTGATCTCGTGTTGCTTAACTGCGAAGTTTCTTAACCTATAACTTCTTTAAAGCCCCCCTTGTAATGATAACAAAACTTTGAACTAAATAAAAACTAAGAAAAAATTAAACATTAAACGCGAGTGCCATCCCTAATGAAATCGAAACCAATTTACTTATTACAAAAGAAATAACGATTAATCTGAAGTGGTCCATCCCAATGAGTATTCGATTCAAAATTAAATTGTAATTAAGTGATTGAACGGCGAAGCGGGCTCCCCGTTTCATTTGTCGTTAATAACTTTAATGGTTTTCGAATCACAGGCATAGCATTAACGTTTACTTCAATAAGAGTACTTTTTACTTGTTTGTTTATCGTTGGGTCGCACGCGGTTGTTGTGTTCCACTTCACTGGTAGAGAAAGAAGCTATTAGAATTGAAATGACAGCTTTATATCTCAAGGTGGATGTCTTGATATTTCAAATAGCATTCAGATCATGTGTCCTCGGGATCTAAAGCATTTTTATTACTGGTGGTAGGACCTCTTGTGAGTCCGCGCGGGTGGGTACCACCGCCCTGCCTATTTCTGCCGTAAAGCAGTAATGCGTTTCGGTTTGAAGGGTGGAGTAGCCGTTGTAACTATAACATGAGACTATATGATCACTATTTTTCTCTCATAAATACTATCAAAAAAGCGTAGTTTACTTTTAGCTTAATGTTAACAAAATAAATACATGATTTTATCTTACTTTAAAAGACAGATAATGTAACTGTTAAAAAATAAAAAATAAATCTTGCAAAGATAATTAATATTAAAATATCATATATTAAACCTATAAAACAGTCTCCTGTAAAATTAGTAAGTTTGAGATTATATAGTTTTAATGGGAGAAGACGATATATGTGTGCAGTTTTTTTTTCACATGACGCGTGCGTTTCTAAACATGAATGTGCTCACCAATAGACATGAGGTAGACTTTTCAGTAGTACTCAGTTAGTCGTTCGCAACTACGCATGAGTCCTGATTTTTAAAACAGAAAAAAAGCAAATATTATTTTGCAAAAATAGCGAATCATAAAAAAAAACCCAGACACCATCGCTTCCAGATTCTTCATTCCGTCTCCCTTAGAATTGAAACGGACAATGAGATCATTAAAGTTATAATTGAAGTTTTTAGTTTGAACTCAACTAAAACAAAGGGCTTTGTTCCGTTCGGTTTAATTTATTTGTCTATATAATTGATAATGAGCTAAGACTTAGACATCTTGCTATAACATAATAATTACCTTAAGACATGTATCATCTTATCTCTACAGCCTCAGCGGAACAGTATTTAGTGCTCCCGGAAGTGTGCCTAGGGTCGTGGGTTCGATTTCCACATCGGGTCAACATTCGTGTGATGAGCACGTTTGGTTGCTCATTGTCTGGGTGTTTATTATCTAAATTTGTGTATATTTAAACCTATATAAGTATTTAGGTTAGTCTGTGGTGCCCATGACACAGGGAATCCTAATTTGGAGCCGGATGATCGTGTGTAATTTGTTCACAGCTACTTAAAAAAAGTACTAGTACTACTTGTAGCTAGTACTTTTAGTACTGGTAGTAAGAGTACTAGAATGTGCTCTGCGTCAACCCTGTCCCGCCGTCTTAATAGCCTCGACTGGACTCCGGCTCGGTCCGAGGTAGGGCACCGGTTGTGAGCGGCAGGAGTTTCTAGTGAGGTTCAACTCCCTCATACCGCGTCACCACCTGCCGCGCGTGTGGAGATCCGCCGATTTTCTCCTGTGGAAAAAAAAAAGAGATAACTACTGTTGTGAGTCCGCCCCCCCCCCTTTTTTGCCGTGAAGCAGTAATGCGTTTCGGCTTGAAGGGTGGGTGCAGCCGTTGTAATTATACTGAGACCTTACAACTCATATTTCAAGGTGGGTGACGGCATTTACGTTGTAAATGTCTATGGGCTCCAGTAACCACTTAACACCGGGTGGACTGTGAGCTCGTCCACCCATCTAGCCAATGAAAAAATAGAAAGAAAAAAACATTACCCGGACAACGCTGGGTATATTTGCTATAATAAATACACCCAAATAATATGTCTTGTTGATTTTACGTACTAATGGATCACAAACCGACAGTGTACACCAGAGGGGGATAGATGAAGCTGTTTGTTCAGAGAAAAATAAAGTGTTTCACTATTTCTGAAATGCTAATTTATACAACTGTCGGGCACATCCGGGGGACTCTTTATACTTTTTTTTTGCTTAGATGGGTGGACGAGCTCACAGCTCACCTGGTGTTAAGTGGTAACTGGAGCCCATAGACAACGTAAATGCGCCATTCACCTTGAGTATAAGTTCTAAGGTCTCAAATATAGTTACTTACTACGGTTTTGGTATGAGCTTCCCTCCAAAGTATTTCCTGAGCACTATGACATGTCTTCCTTCAAACGAGGCTTGTGGAGAGTATTAAGAGGTAGGCAGCGACTTGGCTCTGTCCCTAGTATTGCTGACGTCCATGGGCTAACGTGGCTCACCATCAAGTGAGCCGTAAGCTCGTCGGCCTGTAAGGCTAATTAAAAAAAATTATAACGACTGAATGCACACAGTAAGTTACAATCTGAAGCTATTAGGATATACGAATAGTTTAGGCTACTTTTACTTTCATTGTCATTTCGTTATTTCTAATATTTCAAATACTTTACTGTTCACAGAAGAAATAAGTATTCTTCATCCACATTACTATTACTGGTGGTAGGACCTCTTGTGAGTCCGCGCGGGTAGGTACCACCACCCTGCCTATTTCTGCCGTGAAGCAGTTATGCGTTTCGGTTTGAAGGGTGGGGCAGCCGTTGTAACTATACTTGAGACCTTAGAACTTGTATCTCAAGGTGGGTGGCGCATTTACGTTGTGGATGTCTATGGGCTCCAGTAACCACTTAACACCAGGTGGGCTGTGAGCTCGTCCACCCATCTAAGCAATAAAAAAAAAAAAATATATATATATATTGAGAATTATGCTAGAGCTACTAACCATTTTGATATTATAATATGCCACGTACTAACACTAGTCGCCTTTTCTTTTAATAATAATGACTATAAGGAACGCAAGCTTAAGCTGTATGAGTCGTTTCGTGTTTACGTGTCGCGATAATCGAAGAAAATATTATAGACACAGTTTTCATAATAATAATATAACCAAAATAGTATAACTTTCATTTCATTATTAAGTCAAATAATACAATAACTAGTAATATTAAATTAGGATGTTTTAAAGAATTTTGAACGTGATTAAATGTAAAATTTTAAAATGTACTTTTGTATGATCAACAGAACAGTTTTTTACTAAGCGCATAATGGAATGATGTACTGATGACACAAAAACATTTTTTTATATTTTTTATCGATTTTCTTTGTTAATTCAGATTAATTTAGCTCGACCGGTTTTTACTGGCAGATAGTTGATGGTATAAAGATAATGACTGCGACCGGAAATTGAATCCAGACTGTTTCAGTTCAGTTCAGTTGACGAGGTTACTAAGCACTATGCCCATGAAACGATGAAAAAAAAAAAACAATAATCTTGGAATATAATTAAAAAAAAAACATATATACAAACGATGATGCAGCGTATGCCCAATATTATTTTTGTTTTAATATTATTGTCGCAGGCGTTTAGTAAGCCTGCAGATTGAGTTAAACCATGAGTAATTCCACTGTGAAGCAGTCATGTGTTAGGGATTTAAGGATGGTTCAGGAATTCTAGAACACAATTGACACTTCAGCCTCATAACTCAAGATGAGCGATCGTATTCACGTTGTACTGTCTATCTCCAGCATCCACATTACACCAGCTGAGCCATGAGCACGTTCTACGCAAAACAACAACAAAAAAACTTAACTCCGCTGTGATAAGACTTACAATGTTTTCACACAAGCCTTAAGTGGCGTCCACGTGTGCAATGTTAGTAGCAACACGCTCGGCCAACGCGTGAAACGTCTTCGCTAATCAAAAGCGAAATCCGGCCGTTAACGATGCAGCGAGATATGCTTATTACACAAAATAGTCGAGTTACCCTTAATTAAATGTAATTATTATAGGTTAGTGTCTTTGTTCGGCGAGTGGAGACGGCCTTATCGACTGGGCGGCGCCGGTTCGCTCGTTCGGGCGCCTCCGTCGCGGCTCGGCGACGATCGGGAGCTCTGGTAACGCTCACTACAATTTTAAGGGCTGCGTTAGGGATATTTCGACAGGCGCGCTGCGTCTGCGGGACGACCATGGCTTTCGCACGATGTTACATAACCTCGAAATTCGAAAAAAGATTTAGCAGAACTCTCATATAAATTTCCGAGCCTGAACATCTCGAATAATACTTAATTCTTAGAATTTACTCTGAGATATGATTCAAAGCGAAATCCGCGCTTAAAGTGCGGCCAATTGTCGTCACGACAAAAAGACGATAGTAGCAATTTCCCTTTGCCGACAACCCTTTGCGAGGCGAGAGGCTGAGTGCGCTCCGGGCACATGGCGAGCGGGTAGCGCGGGGGGGTGTGCGGGCACATGGCGGGCGGGGTGCGGGGAGGCTTTCCCGGGCCGCCCCGCCTCAGTGGCGGCCTGCAGTGGCAACGACGCGCGTGTCGCCTCTGACACTTCCGCCCCGCGCACCTAATCCGCTCATTTAACAAGCAAACGCCGCATACGGAGCGGCGGCGGCTGCCTTGCGGCGGCGAGCCCCCGGGGCCGATGCTCTGATGAGCGGGGCCCCTCCGTTTCACCTTTTCCGATCCGCCTCCGACCGGCATGTGAGATCGCGCCGCGCTGGTCAAAATGATTGTGCGTTCAATTGTTTACATTAACTGTAGTTGATAACCTGGAGTTGGACGCTGGCATGCTTATGTGAGTATTAAGATATGTAGCGATAAGTTGTGGCGCTGCGATGTCCGGTCACGCAGCAGACGCGTCTCGCACGGGTAGCTTGGGTCTCTCCTGCAATGCGACAGCGGCGTGCGAGCGCGTCGCGTTGCTTAGATGAGGTAGTGTGTTCGAGTATGGTTAGTGAGATGAATGTTGTGTTGTCGGCAGTCGAACTGTTGGTGGGCATAGGTGGAGTGCACGCGGTCGGGTAGCGGGGTGGACGTCTTCGCGCCTCGCCCGCGGCGGGCCCGCGCCATGCGCCGGTAGCGAGGCGGCGCGGCCGAGCTGCGACCGACGACCCGTGCGCTCTCGGCTATGTGCCCCCTATGCGCTACATTGTAAGTACACTTACAATTACAACACAAATACTATCAACAACAACAAAAAAAAAATAACAACAAGATTCAGTAGACAAAAAAAAACAATACGTTTTTAATAAAAAAAAATAATTTTAATTTTAATTAAGACGAAGGAATTAAGTAAAAAAAAAATGTTTTTTTTTCATTGATTGATAAAGAAACAGCATAAAATAAGTACATAAAACATAGCACTAAACAATTATCAAATCCGATACGAATAAAAAATAATTGTGTGATACATTGTAGATTAACAAGTTATTTTGAATTTTCCGTCATTGGCGTTCTACGCGAGTTCTAAGTTCTACACACTCGCAATGATCTACATGCAATTAAAAAAAAAGATACGCTGTTAAAACCTTAATATGACTCGTACATTAAACGCGTTTCCAGTCGATTTTCGAACTTACATTAATTGATTTCTCCTGCCTGAAGACCCAGCTCGGGACGCCACTACGAAACTCATCGTACCTGTTGATATTACCGCACCTTTCTTATATTGAAATAATTTCCCCAGAAACGACCTAAGATCTAGTCAAAAGTGTATGATTCATTTCATTTTCTATTTATTTCTTAGCTGGGTGAACGAGCTCACAGACCACCCGGTGTTAAGTGGTTACCGGAGCCCATAGACATCTACAACGCAAATGCGCCACCCACCTTGAGATGGAAGTTCTAAGGTCTTAGCATAGTTACAACGGCTGCTTCACCCTTCAAAGCGAAACGCATTACTGCTTCACGACAGAAATAGACAGGGTGGTGATACCTACCCGTACGGACTCACAAGATGTCCTACCACCAATAATTACGCAAATTATAATTTTGCGGGTTTCGTTTTTATTATACGATGCTATTCCTTCACCGTGGAAGTCAATCGTGAACATTTGCCAAGTACGCATTTCATTAGAAAAAAAAAATCGCATAATTCAAGAATGTTGTTTATGATTCTTCACTTTTAAAACGATTCGGATTAATCAAACAAAAATTAACTGAATAATATATTTAACACACAAATTACAACCGGATTACGACATTTGTTACAATAATATTCATGTATAGTTTTGTACATACAATAGACTATAATATTGTTTTCTTGAATAACTAAATAGCTTAGTGTACAATGCTTGTCAATACGTCCCAAATTAATTAACACATTAATAAGCCATTTTGTTAACGTAATCTCACAACCTCAGCGGATCTGCTCTTGTTACTATTGTGAGGTTTCTTTAATAACGGTTGAGTGCATACTGTGAGTCCTCGCGGGCTTGTTAAAGGGTGGGAAACATTCATGAGTTAGTACTATCGTATGGTATGCTTTTAAGCATGAGTATATGTACACTAATAAAAACATCTGAAGTACTGGGAGTCTCTTAAATGACGTATGGTGCGTTTAAAGGTCATTTATCAGAATTACTATGAAACTCCGATACGAACTCTCCACAGTATCTCTTCAGTGCTATAACATGTCCCTTTCCTAATTATGTTTAAGGGTTTTTTTGGGATAGTAAATGGCCTGGTCGTGCCTCTAATCATAAAACTCTACCCTCTACAAATAATTTTAAATAAAAATTAAGCAATGATAATGTAACAAAATTATTAGCAGAATGCGTATGTATATCGATCGCAACGGGTAGGTTTGTTCGTTTCAGTCTAAAACTAGATGATGACCGAGCTTTGCTCGGTTTTTTTTCTTTGATAACGCCATCTTTTTGTGTCTTTAAAGCAGTTAGTTAGTATAAGAAAAAATAGTATTATTATTATTCGCCAATAGATGTCGGGAAGAGTCATAAAGTTGATTTTTGAAAATACGAATAAAACAACATTTTCTGAAAATAAATCGTAGCTAGATCGATTTATCGCCCCTGAAATCTCCTGTATACTAAATTTTATGAAAATTGTTGGAGCCGTTTCCGAGATTCAGATTATATATATATACAAGAATTGCTCGTTTAAAGGTATAAGATTAGGATAGTTCTATTACGATACTATTGAATCTTTTAATTGGTATCTTAAGTTGGACGTTGAAATACTTTGTTATGTCTATGGGCTTCCTTTAACTGGTCCACGCCACCTTGACGGTCACTTAATAGACTATCTAAAGAAAAAATACGTACCAATAAAATCTGAAAGTTTCAAACCAAACAATAACTACATAGTATTACACAAAGTCGCTTTTTCTGTCCCTATAATGTATGCTTAAATCTTTAAAACTACGCAACGGATTTTGATGCGGTTTTTTTAATAGATAGAGTGATTGAAGAGGAAGGTTTAAATTTATAATAACATCCATTAAATAGTGAAGAAATACTGTTATCAATAATAAATTACAGTTCACTAAGCGAAGCGAGAGCGGGTCGCTAGTATAGGTATAAATAATACCACATATATTTTACAAATCTCTCATCATAATGCGATGCAGCAATTTAGGGAACAGGGACAAAGTGAAGATTCTCCAACGAGCAAATGTGCTCGATCTTGCTCGATAGATCGAAGGACAGAATATTGTTGTTCGAACTTGTATTTATTATGCAAGTCTATCTTGTGAATGTCTTAAACGCAATTCAGGTTTTCCTCGATTTTTTTCTATTCAGTACTGTCTACCGAAATATCAATATTAGTGTTTAATTTTGAAAAAAACTTTTGGATCACATTTAAAATGTGGAATAAACGATGCTACTAGATTATGAATTAATTAAAAAAATTAAGTACAGTGTATGTAACACTGTACTTAAATTTTAAAAGACCAAAAGATAATTGTAGGAAATAATTGGACTGGAAAACTTGGGAAAAATCTTTGAAAATATTTGGTATCACCAGGAAAACCTTAGAAGGACAGCCCACTGAGTTTCTCGTCGGATCTTCTCAGTGGGTTCCAATCTGGTGGTAGATTTAGCGAAGTACTACTCTTACTAGGAGTGATGGTAGCAAACATTTCTTAGGTTGAGACTCCATAAGCCCTGTCTATCAGGACCAAGCCGGAATAGTCCCACGAGTCTGCCAGAGCTTATGTAGAAAAAAAAAGTATAAAACGTCATAATTTTAATTTGTACTTCAACTGTTAAACGGTGTTTTTTTAGATTTAAAGAATATTAACATTTGCCTACATTGCAACAAAGTTGTATTGCTTTTGCTACGCCGTAGGCCATGCACATACTACGTAGGACTTTTGCTACGCCGTAGGCCCTGCATATACCTCGTAGGACTTTTGCTACGCCGTAGGCCATGTGCCTACGACTAGATGTTGTATCTTTAATCGTTGGTACCTTTCAGGGGTACTACTAAATTTGTATAAGCATTAATGCTTCAATATTTTTTGTAAATGTAAAGTATAAAGTATAAATGTAAAGTGTAAAGGTATAGGTTTATTTGATTTTTACGACTTGTGAATCACTGTCACGGTTCGCTAAAAGTTAATTGATATTGCTCTGGATTGTGCATCATCTTTTGAGCTTTAACGCAAATCTTCAAGGTCGTAGTTACTACATACTAATGTGTGTCGTAGTTACTGTAAACTGTGTAGAAGTGTACACCCATTTCTGGTTCTCGTAATACTTGTAATTTTTGTTTTGGAATGATACATACAAAGGTAACGCGTGATTTATAAATAATTTTTTTTAAAGGTTTTTGGCTCACACCGCTTATGTGGCTATTCATTGATAGGAAAATAAATGTAAAAAAGACATAAGAAGAATCGAGATAAGAAGAATCGATTTTTTACAGACATTTTAATACGACAATTTTTATGTATGCATATATATTTGAGACTATTTCAATTGTAGAAAACAGAGAGACAAAGATTTACGGTAGAGTATTATGTACGGAGGGTGGAAAGCTGACACTGGCTCTATGAGGGAGGATGTCCGAATAAATAAAACAACAAACAATAATTTATTACCACGCCACATAATGTATGAAAAAACCTTGTTCCAAGATCACATAAAACCAGAAACAACGGTATGAAAACAAGACCACCGTAAACATTTTTATTTGTTATTGTTACACCGGGTAGTAAATAAACGCGCCAAAAATCAATACACTATATATATAATATATTCGAAGTCGTCGTGGCCTAACGGATAAGACGTCCGGTGCATTCGTGTTGAGCGATGCACCGGTGTTCGAATCTCAGGCGGGTACCAATTTTTCTAATGAAATACGTACTTATCAAATGTTCACGATTGACTTTCACGGTGAAGGAGTAACATCGTGTAATAAAAATGAAACCCGCAAAATTATAATTTGCGTAATTACTGGTGGTAGGACCTCTTGTGAGTTCGCGCGGGTGGGTACCACCAGCCTGCCTATTTCTGCCGTGAAGCAGTAATGCGTTTCGGTTTGAAGGGTGGGGCAGCCGTTGTAAGTATACTTGAGACCTTAGAACTTATATCTCAAGGTGGGTGGCGCATTTACGTTGTGGATATCTATGGGCTCCAGTAACCACTTAACACCAGGTGGGCTGTGAGCTCGTCCACCCATTTAAGCAATAAAAAAAAAAAACTTGAGTTGCTGTTTCCGTGGATGTAACAACTCGGCCGTCTATTGACTCTGTCCGGGATTCAGTTTGTTTTAAACTCAACGACCCAATTAACGTTTCGCTCAAAATGTATCAGTTTTCTAAACAGACAGATCTGTTTGCTTTTGTTGAAATATGTTTGTTTCACATCGCATTGACAAGTTAGTGGTTTTATATTACGAGCGAAACGGACAGTCACTTGACCGTTTAGTGTTCACCGGAATCTAGAAACATCATACCGTTAAAACAGCCATCCAACTTAAGGCTTGAATTCCAAGTCTTTATGTCTTTATTTTATTTTATTTTTAATTATAATTTGCGTAATTACTGGAGTTAGGACCTCTTGTGAGTCCACACGGATAGGTACCACCACCCTGCTTTTTTCTGCCGTGAAGCAGTATGCGTTTCGGTTTGAAGGGTGGGGCAGTCGTTGTAACAATACTGATAGCTTAGAAGTCATATCTCAAAG